ACATTTCACAACTCTGTAAAGCTAGAAGTTAATGCATAGAAGATTGATAAAATACAATGATAGTGCTCTTTTATATTTACCAACCTTACTTCATCAATCTCTTTGTTATCTGGCTGTAGAAAATCCCAGTTTCTATGTCCTCTTTACACCAGCTCTGTTATCCTAACGATTCTCTGACTAATAAGCTAAACAAATGTTTGGCATAGCACACTGTGCAATGGGTGATTCTTTGCACAGGTAGGGGAGGCAGAGTGGGAAAGGCAGGTAATTCTGGGGGCTGGGGAAATACTGGAGATGAGGTGGGAGACTTTGCTTGTCCTCTGCTCTGTGTAGCATGGATCTGATCTCCTATTTCTCACAAGAAGGTGATAAGGGAAGGGCAAAAGGGTGAGAAATCCAGTAACTTGGTTTCTCTATGGTGTTTAGCTCTCCTGTCCGGGAAAAGGTTAAAAGTGTACCATGCCATCTCCATTTTCTGAAGATAAGTTCTTGGGATTCTCTCCATAGACAAACCAAAATATTTATTTTTGACACACAGTTTTGCTAGCAGTTGCCCCTTTTCTCTCTGAAGATTTCCCATTTAATTCTCTTTCAAGGAGAATTTTCCCAATAGATTGGACTAACATCAATGAGTTCAAGCAAACACTCAGAAGATCAAAATCTGAAACAGGGAGGTTTCCTATATTTGCTAAAGTGACCTTTTGGTATTTCCAGGAATTTTGATTATCAGTGCCCCTCAGGTCTCTTTTACTATATGCCTACATGCTGGAAGATGGACTCTGCACAGCCCAAGGTGTTCATATCTGAAAAGACCATGCCAGAAGAAGAGCCAAGAGCTGTGTAAATTGGAATTTGAGTCCTTGTTCTCCAAGAACCTGATATAATTATCTTCATTCAGAGTCCAATGACCTGAGAGGCAGCAAGTTCAGCTGGCTGCACTGGTTGGTTGTTCTAGAAGGACATTTTAATCAGCCTATCTGTCAGTCACCATGACAGCTAATGCTCAAATATACCACCAAAAGGAGAGAATCTGAATCAGCCATTCACACTAAAAAAAGAAGAGCAAAATAGCTATCATATTGCTGGATTAAAAAAAAAGAAGAAGAAAATGATTGAAAATCTTTGTATTTTTTTCTTCATTTGCTTTAAAATTTGGATACCTATTTCTTCTATTATCAAAACAGGACTGGGGTTGTAACTCAATTGTAGCACACTTATCTAGCAAGCATGAGGCTCTGGGTTCCATCTTCTGCACTGTCAAACAAACAAACAAACAAACAAACAAAAGTAATTTCATGCTTATTTCCCCAAACTAAAATTGTACAGAGTTTTGGTGCTAGAAATACTTTACTGCAACTGTGTAGGCTTTCTTTCTTTCAATAAAAGTGTTTTAGATGTTATTTTCAAGATGTTTTCTGAGATGTACAAATGCTTGGAGTAAGAAGTTAATTAACTCTGTTCAGAAGCAATATGGTGAGTTTTTGGGTTTTGGTGCTATCTCTACTCTGAATTGAAACAAGGCTGTGAACAGGAGGAGGAGCTATGAATAACAGGTGAATGAGGGGGTGCTTTTGTCTGTCCCAGTGTGAACTTGATTGCTGCATGCTTTGGCTTTTTATCCTTAGCAGCTGCAAATATCTAATGGGAATTTGTACTGCTGCATGACCTGCCAGTGTCCTGGCTCCTCCAAGCTGTTGCCAGCTGCTCAGTCCTTACCATCACCATCCATCCATTTGCTCATGGACCAAAGGCACTAGAATACTTTACATCATCTCTACTTCTACATTCTTTCCTGTGCAGGCTGCCAGACTTCATCAAAATAAAATATAAAGGAAAACTAAAAAACTAAGAAAATGGTCATTAAAAAGTATTTTTTGAATGGAAAAAGTTTTGCTCCCAGCAGTTAGTTTTAAGATGTCTCTTTTCCTTTTTCTGCAGTTCCCTGGTGCAGGGACTGGCTTGCATACATTAATTAGCCCAAGCGCCCACTTGCTGTTTCCATGGGGAATTTACCTTTTGCCTTCTTTGGTGAAATAACTAAACCAGGATCCTTAGCTGTGAGCGAGAAGGCACATGTGGTCAGTGCCCTATTCCTTTTCTCACTTGTCCTTTGTCTATCCCACACTGTAGTTGCTTAATAAATGTTAATCATGATTATTATTGCAACGCTGTCATAATTAATTTGACCATTTGCAACCTACAGTACCAGTAAGAATTATATATATATATATATATATATATATATATATATATATATATATATATATATATATATGGTGGTAAGGTATTTATGTAAGAGTTGGAGCTGAAATTATTTTCACTAATTTATTGTGAATAGTTCTTTTATGTAGCTTTTCCTCTAAGCAGCCAGTAGAAGAGAGATGGTGCTAACATGAGTTTCAGTCCCTGCTGGAGCCAAACTTATGGTGCACTACCAAGATAAGAATACCTCCAGGCTGCCTACTATACCATTGGGCACAGGCCCAATTTATATTTTTAATGGTGGAAATATAGGGGACACATAGAGCATGCTGGACAACATGGGAAATTACCTGCCTGCTTTCCAGAGGCAGCTCAATTTGAGATTGATCAGCTCAGAAACTTCCAGAAATGGAGCCATACTAAAGCCAGGTACAGCAATGAATCTGACAGGCAATGTACTGAATGGATGAATGATCACTCACAGTATCTGTAAGGAAGACTTTGCAAAACCACTGAAACTTTACACTCAGCTTTTCAGTGAAATGGTAGTTCATACTTTTTCCTTACTAGAAACCAATAGAGTAAGAGAACCTAAAGTTTTAGTACATGGAAAACTCATAAAATAATGAATGAATGAATGAAAAAATAAATTCATTTAAGAAGTCTGTCAAGAAATGACTGTGGTGAGCCAGTTAGGACATAAGCAATGCTTCTGCCAAAACATTTGAGGATAGCAGAATTAGGAAGTCAAATATGATTTATAAAAGTGAAAAATAAACAATGAACTTAGGAATTCCTCTATATAAGTCAAAATGTACAGATACAATATGAAAAAAAATTCCTATTTACACTAAGTTATGCATAGGTGAGAAGCCGACGTGCCAAACTGTACCCAAAAGTTTTCCTTTCGGTCAACAATGAGTGGGAAGGTCAAGGTAGAAATGAGCTACCATGCTAAGGATTATAAATATTCTTTTGGTTAATCCTCAAAACTGTATGATCTCCATTTTCCACTTGTGGAAATTGGATATTGCTCCTAGTACACAGTCTCCCATTCAGGGCTGTGGACCCCCGAAAGCCATTATTATTCTGTACTTTCTTTCAATATCACCAGTGTCTCTTTTGCAAACTTGACAATGTGCTACCAGCTTCCCACCCTCTTTCTGAGGCACTTTTTTTTTTTTTTATTGGTTGCTCAAGACAATACATCGATCTTGACATATCATACATTTGATTCAAATGGGGTATGAATTCTTATTTTTCCACATGTACAGATTTCAGGATCACATTGGTTATACAGCCTCTTAACTGACCCATACATTGAGAAGCCTGTCCCTACAGGTAGAGGCTGGGGGCTCTCGCCTAGGCTGTGAATTGACCTTGGCTTGCATTGACCTTCTTGTGTTACTAGATGGTCTCTTAGCAAACAGTCAGCTCTCTGAGGGAGGGAGGAAAGGAGGGATTTCGTCTCTCACCTCTCTTATGCTTTCCAGGTTCTCCCCATATACTTCCTGATCTTTACTGAGTGACAGGAGAGATTAATTTCCTGATCTTAATTGCAGGGACCCTCTGGTTCCTTCTCAGTTCTACATTAACTTTCAGGGAAAGAAGCAGCCTCTCACCAGCATTTAGGATGTCTTTTGATTTCTGAAGAAGTCCAGAGGGCTCACTTAGCTGCTCCTGCGTGGGGTTACTACTCCCAGGCTCAGTGCCTAAGGGTGTCCTGTCTTTTTAATGATCCTGTTTACAAAGGTACTGAAGGAAAATTTTTTTAAAGTTTCTCAAAACTCTTCTGTGTCAAAGATAAATGTTTCCTTTGGAGCCCTCTGGATTGCATTTTTGCCCTAGGCCTTTTTCCCTTTGCTTTCATTGTTAGTCTACAGAGACAGAGCGTCAGAGAAAGGTGTTAAAAGATTCACTTCACTAATTCATAGCCAATTAAGAGACTCTGTTGCAAACCTGACTGGAAGGTTGCTTTGGCAGTAGGTCTGTAGCCCTCCCCTCTTGCCCTTCAGGGAATTTACAAAAACTTCCTTTAGTTGTTTAAAAAACAGAATTCTGAAACTAATGGTGAAAACAGTTCCTATTTGGGCACAGCAAGTTATATTGGTACATATATTCTGCTTTAATCACTGGAACAGAGGTTTGCTTCCCATTATGTGGCTAAGCCCCCTTATCTTTAAGAACTGTCTTCTCTACTAACTCTTATTTGTTTTTTTCCTACACATGGAGGCGGATCTAGGGTGCACAACTGGGAAAGGGAATTATTTTCTCCTTTCTTTGGTGATGGTGAAGTGACTTTCTCTAAGTTTGAATTCTGATCTGATTATTTTTCTTTCTTCAGGATGCTGTCTCAGTTTCTTCCTGAATTATGTTATGAAGAGGCTGTTCTGACAGCTCACTGTGACTAGAAGGTTTCTGAGGTAGGAACCCCCAGATTGTTGCAGTTCACCAAGAAAGTGCTTTTGACTTCTAGCAGAATGTAACTTAGCTTGACTGTGGGCGACATTAAAAAAAAAATCTGAAGTACAGCAAAAGTTTTATTCGGAAAGGAAATTAAAGCTCTCTGTGAAGTAAGAGGTACATTTGTTCTTTGCTTTCTGATGTGGAAAAGTTTAACCTACATGTCTTAGGACTCTTTCTGATAATGGGATCTGTAGCTTCTGAAAGGCTGTTTTATCAAGTGTGATTTAAATTTAATTTTTTTGTGGTTTCACAGTTGAACAGAATGCTCAAAACCAAAACAAAACAAAATGAACAAAAAAATCCCCATCAGTTTCTCTTTTGGATTCTTTTACCTGGTTCAATGTTGAGAGAATAGCTGTCTATTTCCAAATCAAGTTGATGGGCGGCAGTGGAACGAAAATCCTCCAGGACCCCGTGCACGGCCTTGGTGAGGTTATACGGCACTGACCTAGCAAACCTCACCTTGCTGTTCACGATCACACTCCCATTTCTGAAGCTAAGTATTTCAAGTTGCTTAAATCCTGTAAGATTAGATTGCAGATACGGAACCAGCTGCAAAATAAAAGATGGTTTACTCTTAACCATGTTCCAAGTGTTCAGCTGCTGCTAATTCCATTTGTGCTCCCTTTCATTACCTGAAACATATATTTCAATTGCTTTTTATTGTTTTTATTTTTGTTTAATGTGAGGCCAGAACACCACTACTTAATGACCTGTCTGCAGCAATGATGTCTCATATTTCCATCTTTCTTTGTATTTTGATGGATGGGTAATGATTTCTTCACAATGAAATGTGAGAACAGATGATTTTAAAAAAATCCAAGCCAATGTTATCAACTTGCATGCCAGGTTTTTAATAAAACAAGAAGTAATTAAAAGTAATTAAAGTAATTAAAAACATGTTCCAAACTGAGCCAAGGAGCAAACTGACCTACTCCTGTATAAATGGGACAGCAATTTGGAAGCAGCAATTTGGAAATGACCTATTGAAATCAACAACAGCTTCAATATCAATGTGTCTGTCTATGCAGTATATGTTTCAGGGCCAAAACAAATGTAACGAGAGGAGTTAGTAGAGAACTGGCAGCCAGGAAATGTGGGTGCCAGTCCTGGAATGTTCCGTACCTAGCTGTGTGACCTTCATCAAGCCACATAACCACTGTGCAGAACCTCAGTCCCCTTATCTGAATTGTGAGGGAGAACAAAAAATGTTGCCCTAGGGGACCCCTTTACAAACTATAATTTAATAATCTCAAAAGTACGCCTCAGGGCATTGTGCTTCAGTTTCTCTCATTTGCCTCTTGTGAGTCATGGCCATCTTTGAAATCATTTTTCAGAAATATTTGAAACTTTGTGAAGTCAAACTTGTCTCTGGCCTCACTCATGAATTGCATACCTCCATCTGAATCTAGAGAGTGCAAAGATGCAAACTGCATTCTCCTAGGCTTGGCCCATACCTGATAATTACCCGGTCCCATCAAAATTTTGGCTCTGAACCTGACCCACATTGTGGTACCTCCCTCACTGTAAAAAGAAAATAATCTTTTATATATGGTTGCAACTTTTTTCAATGCACTCTGCTTGATTTCTCCTACTTACTTTGAACTCATTCTTTATGTGTTAGCATTCCTTTGGTCTTTACTAGGAGTCATCTGTTTTCGTGTAGTGTGCAGATGGCTAGCTGTCCCTTCTCCCAAGTCCAAATTCTCTTCTCTTAATGGGAAAGAAGCTGGCTCATTAGAGATCACATTTTTCAGCATCTCTTGCATCCAGGTGTGATCATGTGCCTAGTTCCTACTGACAGAATCTGAGAGGAAGTGATGTGGGCCACTTTGGTATCACCTGCTGATGAAGAAATTGCTTTCCCTCAGCCCTCTCTCTTTCCCCTTCTCACAAGTGAAAAAAGGGTTGTGTCATTACTCCCGCTTCTTAAATCCTGAGCCGTTGTACAACTGGAAACACAGCCTTCCAATAAGCTGCCATCTGGAATCTCCTCTGGAAACAAGGATATTCCCACACTCCAACTCTGACTAGGCAAATGAGGAAACATTCCTGGCATTGGCAGAACTACAGATGAAGAAATGTGGGTGATGTTTTAGAGCAGCTGTCCAGTGGGACAAGTGAAAGAGAAGTAACCTTGACTCTAATTTAAAAGTCACTGTATTCTTGATTTTTTCATATGGCAGCTTAGTAAGACATCTGGACTAGGTTCACAGGGACTCTTTTTCCTGAAACTGTCCCAGTATCTATTCATCTCATGGTGTGTATGAGTGTGTGTGTGTGTGTGGGGGGGGCGGGCGGGGAGCAGGGGCAATGGCACAAGCAATCTTTTTTTAAAGCAAATGTTCACCTGAGAAATTGGATTTTATGTGTATTTTCATTTGTACAATAATTTAACTTATATGAAGTATATGAAGTATACACATAGTTTCTCTATTATTGTCAGAAAATTTCAATCTGTGTGGTATAATTGTATAACTGTAATTGGCCTTGACTGTGTAGAGGTACTACCTACTTTAGCATTTCTTATTTTACTTGTAGAAATAAAATAAATGTGAGTTTGGAGGTGTTTACTATCAAAGATATATGTCATCATGATTATCTTCTCACTTTCTTTGATAGGGGTCAGGGATGATACGTCTTTAGTCACTTTTTAAGTTTACAAGAACTTAAGGGACCTAAAAAGAGGAACCCATCTACCTGAACTCTCTGGTCATCTGTGCTGGACCAGCATAGCTTTCTATTCTTCCATCAGAGACTTCAAATCAGGAAAAGTTTACCCATACTATTTTTAGATTCCAAGTTTAGTACTTGAGAATTATTCCTGAATAAAATAATTTAGGAAGAACTACAAAGAGGAGATTTTAAAGGTAAATTTGTTTCCATGAAGTTGGGTGGCTGTGTCTTCCCTGAGTGTCCATCCTTGCACTCACTCCCCCAATCAACACAAACCTATCTCAAAACTCCAGCTGAATGCCTTCAGCAGCAGCTGTTTCCCAGGCCTCTCTCCTAACCTGCATTTCTCAATATAGCCAATGATTTTCCTGTAAAGTTAAAAAAACAACCAAAAAAGGAAAGAAGAGACACAGAGGGCTGAGAAAAATAAGCAGTGTCCACTCACCAGCTGTGTGAACCGCTGCTCCAGAGCTTGGTACTCCACAGAGCTCTTGTTGAACAGGTTATTGGAGAAAGGCATGTTAGCAACACGCAGACTGAAGAATACTACCAGCTCTTGGCCTTTGGTGGCAAAGGTCATGGAGCTAGTGGTGATATATTGTAAAGCAGGATCAGGAGTGGTGCTCTCCAAGAGATGATCTGGGGTAGAAACATATCCACTCAGTCCTGGTATCTCTGATGATACAAAATTGTCGGACACATCAATTTCTTCTAGGTCTCTGATCACATCTTCACTGCTTGTACTGAACCTGCTGCCATGTGAAGATGCAGATGAATGTGAAATTTCCAAAGCTAACTGGCTGATGGTAGAATAATCACTGGTGGGGAGAGTGAGCCCTGGACCTAGTACTGTCTGGTCAATAGACGTTATGTCTGTGGTGCTTGGATCAGTCAGAGAGAAGATGCTTGATGCCGTAAAGAAAGGTGGTGTTTCTGACAGGGAGGCAGAGGCCATTTCAGGTGGAGACCAAGAACTGTCTGTGGAGGAATCTCCTGAGACCAATTCCATTATGTCCAAGTATTTTCCAAAGAGGAGAAGATGAAAAAAAAAAAGTAAGGCTTAATTAATAAAATAAGATATGATATTTTCATTGATCATTTTAATAGTCATACTTTAAAAAGAGAGAGATTGGTTAGGGAGGGCAGGCAGTGCTGTATCCAACCTAGGAAGACAAAGGGTGGGTCCTTCTATTCATTTTATTTGGGCCCAGTCATCTAGATATATGAGACTAAAAACATACCAGTTAACTGAAATTTCTGGAATTTGTGCCTGGTCCGATAGTGCCCACGAGGATCAGGTAATACAAACTGACTAATTTGCCACTGGAATATATTTAGATCCCAAACCACAGATGGCATTCAAATAACATCACCTCATTTGGAACTTCTAGATAACTAGCTTTACAGTTTTGGCCTAGAAATTTTATTCATCTTCCAATAATGCATTTTATGTAACTGAATTTTTTGGATTTAATCATCACAGTTTGGTACTTTTACCACTTAAAATTGAATTATTCTTTCCTAAAACTGAATAACCTAATTGAATAGCTTGCTAATTTGCAACACTTGTATTGAGAGTATAAAGATGTGAGTGACATATATAATTTGAATCTTATAGTGACCATAAAACTTGATAAATATTTGATAATATTTAAAGCCTTTGCCACTTTTACATTATCAAGCCCTGATAATTTCTACCACCACTTTGTATAGCATTCTTGGGTCAAGTATACATTAAATTACTAAAGTTCACTCCATTTTTGGTATGAAATCAAAATTTAAAAAGTACTTATTAACTAAGAAAGTGGCCATATTAAACTTTTGATAAAAGATGCATTATTAAAATAGTCCAATAAACCTAAATCCAAAGCCACTGATGATATTTAAGTATTAGATGCACAAAACATGAAGCTTTCTATGATTACTTCAGTGGCATTTTGGCAAATATGTGGGAAAGCTCTGCTGAAATCCAAATGCTAAGTATGATGAATGGACTGTCTGGATGAAGATAGAATCTTTGGACTCACAGTCAGCTAATTTACTACAGTGCAATCACCAAAACTGAAACTCTGAGTGATAAACAGCTCTGAAAGGTAAAATCATGTTAGTTTTATTACTTTCTTAAAATGAAACCTGGCTATTGGTGAGTTATGCCCCGATTTCAGAGAAGCACCCTCTTTTCTCTTGACTGTGGAGGGTGCCTAGTTGTATCTACCAATAATTTACTCAAATGTCAGAAATAATATTTCCTAGCAGCCAAGATCTCTGTGTATACACACCTAGTGTTTATTCAAATTTCCGTTGCTGTGGACTGAAAGTTTGTGTCCCTTCAGATTCATATGGTGAAGCTGTAATCCCCAATATGATGGTACATGGAAATGGGGCCTTTGGGAGAAAATGAGGTCATGATAGTGAAATCCTCATGAATGGGATTGGGCTTAATGACTTTATAAGAAAAGATGTGAGAGAGATAATCTCTCTTTCTGCCATTTGAGGATATAGCAAGAAGGCATCCATCTGCAAACCAGAACTCTCATCAGGAACCAGATCTGCCAGCATCTCCATCTTGGACTTCCTGAACACCAGAACAGTGAAAAATAAATTTATTTAATCTACCCAGAACATGGTATTTTCTTATGATAATCTAAGCTAAGATAGTAACAGAAAAATCTGGGATGAGTCGACTGAAAGGCTTCCAGTACTATCTATGGTTTGATTTGGTTTCTTTGCAACATGGGAAATGCATTTGAATCTGTGTTCCTAGGATGCGATCTCTGGGCCCCTGCAGATGATAAGGGTCGAGAAATCTGAGGCAAGAAGCACAATGATGAATGTCTTCATTCTGCTCTTGGGTCAGCATCTCATTACTCACACCTTTCTCACTCTACAGACTTTAACCAGCTTAAAATAGGCTGCTGCATCATGTCATCAGTCAGTGAATTTCTAACCATCTCCCTTTGTGGCATCTTAATATTAATCCTTTACATTCACTACAAACCTAACCAAATGATTTCATGGATGCAACAGTTGGCTATTTAAATGTAGGGTTGCTTGATAAAATATAAAATATAATGTGTTGAAACACAGATCTGTTAAAATTATTTTTTTGTTTATATGAAATTCATTTTTGACCGGATATCTTGTATTTTATTTTGCTGGATCTAGCAGCCCCATTTAAATGTGTTTTTAAAAGACTCCAATTCTCTTTTGGCTCAAGATTAAACCTATTAAGGCAATAGGCAATTTTTTTGGGGAAAAAAGTTATTCAGACTGTACCACCACTTAAGTGGTGTATTACAAGTGTATTTTAAACATGTTTTTATTTGGTTCTTATGTAAAAATGAGACATGACAGTATACAGGTTTTTTCAACATTTTTTTTTAAAAATAATTTTTAGTTGTCAATGCACCTTTATTTAATTAATTTATTTATATGTGGTGCTGAGAATCGAACCTAGTGCCTCACACACTCTAGGTGAGTGCTCTACCACTGAGCCACGACCCCAGCCCTCCAACATTAAGTTTTAAACATTATAATGGGAAAGTCAATTACTAAAAGCCAGTGCCATTTGTCTCATGAAATATTAAAGATAAAAAATAAAATAAAAATAACTATTATGCTGGAGTGTGTGGGGTTCCTGTAAGGTGTGAAGGGTGGATTTTGTATGTGTGCATGGTGGGGGCACCAGTGATAAACCTGGCTACTGGACATAGAAGAAATGGCTATTTTGGTCACTTTCTAGGCAGAAGGTCTGTCCAAAGCCAAGACCACAGGTGAAATGATCCAACCCAAAGTAGGTGAACTGAAGCTCAAAGTGAGAGAAGCCAGCAACAGAAGATGGGCCTAGCACAGAGTGCTTGGGAGTTCCTGAAGTCCTAGTGGCCAGAAGACAAGTAAAAGGTGAGCAGCGTATGAGGTAGAAGCTCAGAACCAAGGATACTTTAAATGCTGCTAGAAAGGGTCACATATGCACAGTGAATCATAACCATCAAGTGCTTGCCTATTTCATGTTAAAAACAAATCTGATCTCTTTTAGATCTTCAAGTGGTATGTCCAGTAAGTTAATTTTATATCAAACAAATTCATTTTTATTTATCATAGCAAATATATGTTATATATGATAATTATAAGTTATAGTCCTTTTTTAGCACATTATAGAAAATAGAAAAGAAGTGTTTATTATTAGTCTGTTCAATGAATAGATATGGATAGCCTACTATATACAGGTGCTGGGATACATGAGTGAACACAATAAAGTTTCTGGCCCCAGTGAGCTTACTGTTTAGTGAAGAAAGACAGGAGAAAAAAAAAAGGCAAAGGAAAATACATAGCATGCCAGATGGTGATAGGTGCTATGGAAATAAAAGCAGGAAAGGAGATGGAAGTGCCAGGGCTTGTGATTTTATAGAGGGTAGTCACTGAGATTGTAATATTTGAGCACAGACCTGAGGTTGGTAAAGAAGTTAGTTAGGCAGCAATTGCAAACGAGAATGGCAAAGGAAGAAAACTGCCTGTCATGTTCAAGGGACAGCTAGCTAGAGGAAAGTATGACCATAATGGAATTCTATGCTGTCAGTCAAGTGTCATGGTGGCCAAAGACATTTTCAAACACATAGTCTCAAAAATTTCTGCCAGGAACATTTAGGATGTAAGAATCTGTCAGGAAGACTGGCATCCCAGATGTAAAAGGCAACCAGTTATGACTGAAATTTGTCTGAGGAGACTAGAAGGTAAAAATGCCTGTATCCTTAAGTCCACTCACATTGTACCAATTAAAAAATAAATTTTCAGCTTTATTAAGTTATAGTTGACAAATAAAACTTGTGCTCCACAGGGTGCTTGTGATCCCAGAGGCTCATGAGACTGAGAGGCAGGAGGTCAAAACTTCAAGGACAGTCTCAGCAATGGGAATGTGGCTCAGAGGTTATGTCCCCCTGGGTTCAATCCCCTGTACAATCAATCAATCAATAACTTGTGCACCAGATTTTTGAACAGGAACAAATGAGTAAACCCAGAAATAGGATGAGGGAATCCAACCAAGACAAAGACAAAGAAAGTCTGAGAATGACATTAAAGGAAAAATCCAGGTGACAGCTATCCCAAAGACTGAGAGAGCAGCAGGTCAGAGAGGAGAGAGAGGACTCTCTGGAATTTATCAATTCCAACTTATCAATTGGAATTAATAAGTTACCTGATGTGGAAAGATACAATGGAAATGGCAGTAGAAAGTTTGGGAAGAATTTGAAAATACAAAAGAAAACTAAGCAAAGGAAAAAAAAAACCACATTAACTTCAAGAAAACAGAAATGAGCCACAGAGCAAATGATCATCTGTGAATATATAATCTGCACCCTAAATACCGATTTAATTACAGTTGTAATACTATTATATTGGGAGAATTGGTGGGGAAGCCAAGGGGATGGTATGGAAAGAAACTTAAATGCTTACCTACGATAATAGAATATATCATTTATTGATATACAAAACTGATATTTTTAAAAAAATATGAGGAAGAGGGACTGCTTTTGGTGACAAGGACTGCAGAATGGGGAGGTACAGGATGGCAAAAGCCTTGTCAGAACACTTTACTATGATTTGACTTTTAAAGAAATTAGTCTTTTTGTTTTGAGATGACTGTAGATTCAAATGTGGTTCCAAGAAAGAAGAGGGGGAGGCATCAGTGAAAACAGCCCAGGAAGAAACTCCAGAAGTCTATCTTTCCACAAAAACAACATTAAACTGGTAGAGAGTGTCAGAATTGATGTTTTCATGCTCTGGAAGCTAATAAAATATGTAGAACAATCAGGGAATGCTTAACTAAGAAAAACAGTCTGAATCTTGAGAAGTACAGTGAACTCTGTGGCATTTTTGACTTTCCCTATTGGTAGCCCCCAGTCCTTAGTTCAATGGCAGCCTAGAAAATAACAGGCCTCATTCTCTTAAAGAGAAGAATAGACCTTATTAACAAAGAATTATTT